AATTTAGAAATATGACATAACTTCACGTTAATCACATTTTCAAAATAAAGAAAGTATGAAATAACTAGAAAAGCAAAATATTTATGAATGATGCCGAAGCATAGTTTTTCGGTTCTGCTGATCAGTTGCGTTATGATAAAAAGTACAAGAAACGTAAAAGAAATCTATTAATTTTTGTTTATTTAGCTTGTGTGTGTTTTAATAAAGTAAATAGGTCATACGAGAAAACTGACGATTTTTGAGTCCTATGGTATGGTATGGCAGTACTTAACTTGTTGGAACAATAAAGTAACAACAAATTCATATTTATGTTTTTGTATTTATAGAAACCCAAAATAATATGAAAAGTAGGTCAAATTTTATAAGCGTACGCATGTATCTTGTCTGACAGTCCGTCCACGTTGGCGATCGAGACGGGCGAGGGACGTAGGATTAGACGCGGCCGAAAGTGATCCGTTATAATTTGGAGGGTGGACAGTGACGGCTGGTACGCACAGATTAGCCCCTTCGATAAACAATAGCATTAGTATGCGAGGACGCACTGACCGCCGATCAGCCCAGCCGTGCTCGGATTAATTTGCCTCCTGAAAATTATGGAGGCTCTATGTGGACCGAAACGATCACCGACCCGGAGAATATTGCTTTGTTTTCACTTGTACGCCGGCTGAATTTCTCTTCAATCAGAATGTGGCCATAGTGCGCTGCTTTCCGTTCCGTATCAGTATCGTTGTTTGCGCAGGTTATTAATCTTCTTAGCTTTTAAATCCTTGCCATGTTATCTATAATGTCTGTGACTCGAATCAGTACCAAAATAAAAGAATTAATATAAAATTCTTAGTATCTACTATTCAAATAAAGATATTTAAAACCCTCAGCCCAACTTTGCAGATAAGACTTCTAAAAGTTTTATCACAAACTGATCTTTTTGTAATCCAGTTATTTGGAGCCCAAAACGTTTGAGTGTTTGATTGATCACTATAAAAACAAAGAAAACAGAATCTCGAAACAAATACAAACAATTGTAATAAGAATACAATTAGCAGTTTTATACTTCGCATCAACACGAAACAAAACTCCCAGGGCTCGGGAACATAATTAGCGAAGTGAACAACATAACTACTCTATCCGTAAAACCTCCAAGTAGAAGCCAATGAAAAGTGAACCTCTTAATTTGGGGTGCTTTTAGTGAATAGCAATAAGCGTTAATTTTATTTGTACGCCCTGCGATATCCGGTTTCGACGGAAGCACACGCCTACTGCGCCGTCGCTAAGTAATGAGGCTACTGTTACAAACACTGCACTCTAGATGAAAGGCTATAAATTATCACACGATGCACAGTGCAATTTGGACTTTATGTTAACACACCAAAGTTTTTTATCTCTTGGCTGAACTTATGTCCTGTACAAGTATCAGCTGACTATTTTATAATTGAAAATCGACAAGATTCATTTTGTGATCACTACGTGCTACATGAAGAGCTAAATTATTACCTAAATAAGTTGGCAACGTTTGTAATGTCGGATGTTCAATTAATTCATGATTTCATTAATGGTGCTGGAGAGTAGTCATCACTAAATAGTATAAAACAAAGTCGCTATCGAGCGTCCTTATGTATGCTTAGATCTTTAAAACTATGCGACGGATTTTCATGCGGTTTTTTTAATAGATAGAGTGATTCTTAAGGAAGGTTTATATGTATAATACTTGCATATTGCACCCGCGCAAAGCCGGGGTGGGTCGCTAGTTATTTATACGTGCGTCGTGTAAACGTATGTGGTATAAACAAAAACTCAACGTTGACATGTGAAGAGGAAGTTGCTACGAGAACTCGTAGCGGCGTAGCACCTAATTTAATTTTCCGTTATACAGCACATTATAGTCATTGTTAAGGTAACCTACGAGTATCAGAAACAATACTTCCGACATTTTTCACTCATTCATTATCCTATAATATAATAACCGTCTGTGTATTAGCAATAAATCGCTTGTGATGTTTATTATAATTTGGAACTGACGGGATTGTTGTTATTGGATAACGCTATATGCGACCGTAACCTTGAGGATCAGATTATTTGTCCCTAACCTGTCAATGATATGTTAATAATATGTTATTACATTCGTTACTCTTATTGTTGATCTGCATATTTACCTTCACAAAGTGATGCGAAAACCCAACACAGTGAAATTATTCAAGGCTTCGCTTATTTATGAATCACGGCGTTGTGTTTATGTTTACGATATATCAGTATTCTCAAAGTGTGCGAAGATATCAGAGCGTACACAATTTACGAACTCAACAAACTTAAAGCCTTATAAATCAAAAGCTAATTTTCTCCAGGATTTGGAAGTCGAAAGCGATGCGTACAGTAATGTGTTCTTTATATCAAAAACACATTTAAAAGAAGTTAGATTGGCTTACACAAGTTGGCGTTCGGCCATACGTAGTTGGAGCCTTTTCGGCGCCTCAAAGCCGGCCCTAATCTTCAAAGATTCGCCGCAGATTGTTTGCAAGCATTTTGGTCCATCAAAATATGACGGGGAAACTTTGGCTTCGTAGATTATTTTGACATTCGCAGTAGCGAAAAATCTAATTGGATGGCTGAAGAATTTGTTGCGGTATTTAATATAAAATTGAACTTCGTAAACTTTATTTTCGATTTGTCTGCTTATGTCCAGGGGAGGTGTAATGGATTTAGCGTATAATTAAAAGATGTGCGTTTAAAACAAGCTTTATTTAGTTTGTTACCTACTCACTCTTAGTCGTTACGTGTAGTTACGTAGTATGGGTACAATCGTCCGCCGCGCAGTGACCGCTATGAACACTCATTACACATTCTGTTATTAAAAACACACTCAGTGGCTTCGCTTAATGAATATATTTACAACATTTCTATCTATGTGGCGATATCTTATATTTAGCAATTTGGCAACATGATAATGGTAACATTTACATATACATATATATAAGTATGTCACTATATAAACTAGGTGTAATTGACAGAAGAAATTTGGATTTGTAAAACATCTATAAAAGAAAAAATTAAATAAAACTTTAATTAGGTCAATAAATAAAGCTAAAAATCCAAAAGTGGTGTTACAAATACAAAAACACCGGGGATATTAAAATGTAAAATTCAAGAGTAGCAGAAAATACATTCATATGAAATATAAGTCACGCATCACAAGTTTCCATTACCTCAAATTTGAAAATATAGTGGAAGGCAGGCAGGAGTCACATTAGGAATACAGATTGGATCTACACCACTACGGCACGATGATGCAGGAAACAATACATAAAATATATGTCCAATTTAGAAATTTCGTCAATTCAGTAATATTTTTATCACAGCGAACATGAGGTTTACATAAGCACAATAAAATAATACAATTTAAATACCCTCTAAAGACACAATTTTATAATTCATTCAGTCTTACTCTATCTAATTCTTATAATCTTATAATAAAATCAATAACTATGATAATAGTGCACTTTGTATTATATATTAATAGTATTACGTGTGCAGTGAATTTGTCTATTACATACTTTTCACGGCTGAGCAGACTTTTATTACTATATCGACGGTGAAAATAAATGATTTTAAACATGTACAGCGTCACTTCTAATTCTATGTTATAGGTACTGTTAATTTTGAATTAAAAGTTATTCATCGTTTTTTCTCCGTAATATAAAATAACTATACATAGAACACGATATTCCATATTTTTTTAATTATTCCGATAACATATTTCTTCGAATATTTACAGTACTCAAAGACCCAAACACTGTTATAATTTCTCTAAACACCACGTGCCTAAAATTATATGACTAATTTATATATTATTATGAATTGTAATATAGTATACAATATATAATTTTATAATAAAACTATTACATTAACATTAATTTCATAAATACATTTCTTTAAAACAATTTAATTAGCAACATTTTCGTATAACTTTCATTTGAACGTGACCTCATCTTATTAAAAGCAGAGGATCGTGCGCACTCTGTATACGACTATGCACATCGAGTTAAAAGTCACCCTGTACATATATCTGCTGAGCCGTGAAACAAGTTCAAGGAACTGTCGTACATACAATACCTTTAGTTTATATAATTAACAACAACGCTTATAATAATTATGAATATCTTTTTGGTTATGAAACGTAAACCTCTTACTCTATTGTACATAACGACGGCGATGTGACTACGATTTAATATTCGTTTTTTATTCTAATTTACCTGTTTTCGAGGACAATAAATTCATAAGTATTACTTACATATGAGTTAGTTCAAATGTAACGGATAGCTGTTTTTATTGGTCGAAGCTCTAAGCTCAGTTACGTTTTCGTTATTCGATTACAAAACACGTTAATAGCTGTTTCATGGTAAACTCATTTTGATTATTCATTATCATCGTATCAAATATCCTTTTAATGTGATTTTGATGGTAATTTCTTTAATGAACGTTGTAGAGATGGGACTGTAAGTTTGTGCTAAGATTTCTTAATATTTTTTTCTAGAATTATTAGTTTGTAAGTGTCCTTACGGTTCACCGTAACGAAGTACTTGATTTGACGATACAATCGACTTCACTCACAATGATTCTGTTAAATATTCATCTGTTGATATCCTACCGCATTGGGTTGTTTTCGAGTAACTTAGATACTTTTCAATGTAAAATATAAACCACGGAAAATTAATAATATTGACATGAACTAGATTACTTGCATTTTTACTTACAATCCAATCTCTACATTTCAAAAGCAAGTTTCGGCTAAAAGCTCACAGAGTCTAAACCGTTAAACAGCAACAATAGAACAATGTCACAATAAAACTCAATCATCCATTGCCTGTACACTACATATATGATACAAGGTGCCTCAGAAATCAATGCTAGTCCGCTAAATGAACGTCAACTGTCGTTGGTTAACAGAAAAATAAAACAGAAATACAAAATAATTATACACATGAATTATGTAACATTTTTGATAATAATTTCCAAATATTTGTTGTATGATTCTTGTTTTTTTTAACTAATCATAGCCCCGTATTGATAAACAATAAATATATATCGTCCATTATCAGCTTAGCGTTGATTTCTCGGCCACCCTGTACAGGCGAGAATTAACAGGTAATACGTTGAATTTATCTCGCATGACGTGTACGGAATACGAAAGATAAAAACAATTTCCTTTTAATTTGCACTATCTCGGGCGAGCCAAGCTCGGGTACCTACGTGTGTACATGGACAGTGTTCGAATGAATGATGATGGAGTTACATCATTAAAATATAATATGGCACAGCGATTAGTGACGCTATAACCCATATAGAGCTTCTCCTCCAGTCAGCGTCGCCTGTGAACAAAATGTCTTATTTAATATTTTTTCATATTTGTAATGATTGCGATTGACGTACCTAGGTAGGTAATCAGGTGATTATATCAATCAGGTCTGTCGATTATAGGGGCTCAAAAGTTTTAGCAACATTTATGGTTTATTTTGATACCGCAAATATTCAACTAATCAAGTTTAGTTTATTTAAAACTATTTTTTTATTAAGTCTACATCATTTTTAATATTGTACTGCATTTAATTAAATTTTATTTTAAGTCTGGTGTACGATAAAATAAAAACCGACCATTTAATTCTTAATATTTAAACATACCTGTAACCTGCGATGCACCTCCCACCCAGTTCAAGTGTGTCTTCCCACCACCTTCATCTGTTTTCTGTTTGCCCTTGTCAATTTCGTTAAGGTTTGATTGATATTTAGTACCTGTATAACATAAAAAAGTTAATTTAGAAAATATTTAACGGTGAAAATGTTTTAATCTCCCTAAAAAGTAAGCTTGCAGAGAAAAAACGAGAACGCGAACTGATTGGGCAAAGGATTCAATATGGCAAGGGACGGGCCGTCGGCAGGCGGTCGGCTAACAGTTATTGAAAAGTTGCGCAATATTGTCGAGTATCCGGGGCCAGCCGTAAATTCGTAATGGTTGCAAAAAATAAAACAGTAACGGGTCCGATGTGGACGGCGCGCCACACCACGCCGCAAAAACAACCAGCCGCAAAACTTACACTCGTGCCGGCGCACCCCTAAATGGGTTTTTCAAGTTCGCGCGAACATGTTCAAATGATATCCCTCGGCTCTTGAGCATCTCATAACTTTCTACAGTTATTGATTATGCATATGATTGTCTGAAAAATGTATGTATCTAGGAACATATTTTATACTAGTTAGAAGCAGGTAGAACATTATTGGCTTACAACAACTATATTTTCAATTTATCGTGTTAACAAAGCTTATTAAGAGTTTGTAACAAGGAGGATGGGAACACTTGTCCGTAATAGGTTGGCGCAAGATGTTGTCCGGCAGCGTGGCCGGGAAAATGGCCAACTTCCCAATAACGGGCGAGTAATGACGCGAACCCAACAACTTCTGACACCACGATATTACAATACACGCTGCTCGGCAGCTCCTACATCAATGATTCTGAGATTACAAGTTCATATCGCGGCAATATGGAGGGTGGATATTAATCAAAAGTATTTGCAAGTGAATAAAAATATCGAGTGGTTTCTTCAATATTTTAAGTTAACATTAGAAAGTAAAAATATAGGAACTTAAAACTTATTGACATAATTCATTGCTTGAGCTCCACCTTCATGGTCCTTTAGGGAAACGATAACATCTTTTACAAAATTAGTAACATCTGAACCTGGGCCGTTCTCAACAAATTACGTGACATCTTCCGAATGTCGTTTATTTATTAAATTAACCTCCCAAGAGATACCTATAGCCTTACAACCATTTTTAAGATGGGTCAGGACGATGTAACATTGATCAAAGATCGCGATATTGAACAGACGATACTCCTTACGCCTATTAATTTAGCATAAAGCAATTTTATAATAATTTGATGGGAGTTTACAATAACAGCGCTTCATAAAATGTTTTGTTTATAAACGATTTGGTCATAGTTTACGATGGCTCATAACATTCGGAGCCAGTTAACAAACTACCGGCTGGCGACAAGCAGATCGTCGTAACAGTTTACGATCTATAAACAAATATAACAGCCACTAATAATAACTGAAACAGCAACATACAATGAAAACAGACTGAACGATCTCGTGGGGGATACAACTCGTAAAGGTAATATTATCTCTTAATAAACGAAATCGTCGACATAAAAATGTTGTTTCGATGCATTTTATTGGCGCCGATATCAGATATTGATAAACTCATTCGACCGCGACGTTTGCTATAGCTGTAATTAATTACTATTCCCACACACGAACATAATAAATTGCTGTCCGAGACTGCGTGCAGCCCGTGGTTGATTCTACAAATTATTATATTGCATTTCACGCTTCTTGGCTTGTTGCAATATAATTGATATGATAATATCCCGTAATTCAAAATGAAATTAAAATTCTGATTAAACCATTGTTCGTGAAGTTAATAATATTTTGCAAATAATATTGTTTGATTTGTTTTTAGAATAAAGACTGAGATTATCTTTATTCTCAGCTCTAAATATTTCCTAGATACTTCATTTATGTTTGTTATGACGGATGAGACTTAAAGCTAAGGCGTCGTTACTCACCCTTGTCTGTGAGTGGAGTGTCGCGGCGAGGAGGTCTAGACGGTGGGGGTATGGTCAGCGCACGGGGATCCGGTGTGGTCGTCGGTGGTGATGAAGCTACGCAGCAAAATATATATAGTAAATCCACATGGTTAAGTGTACCTACATAATATAAATTTCAACATCCACAAGCAATGCAATTTCTGTTGGTTGTTTCAATCAGTATTTTATATAGCCAATATCATTCATTGAGTTCTAATTTTAAAAAAGTACTTACTATATAAGCGAATGGTACCATCAGACTCGCCTCTCGGATTCTTAGCTATACACTTATATGTACCATAGTCTTCAGTGTTGATATTCCTAATGAGTAGTCTCATGTGAGTCTTATAAGCTGGTATTCCTACAGTATTCTCCATGTGATACTTGGGGCTCTCATGAATCATGTGACCATCATCCCTAGTCCAATAGTTCAGGGAAGTTGGATGGGCTTCTGTGAAGCATTCCAAAGTCACGTTGTAGTAAAGCGGTGCACCCACGAGCTGATGAGGAATCCATAACATGGGTGGAACTGAAAAAGAGTACAAATTATAATTTTCAGTGTATTTCTATAAATGCATGGCATCAAAGACTAGTTTAGATCACTCACAATCAACGCTGACTTTGACCCGCTTTGACACTGTTGGCGGCACGCCGTTACTAGCAATGCATAAGTAGGCACCCATATCTAGCCGGGAAATTCTAGCCATCTCCAACACTTCACCTTCCCACTCGGAAACTGAAAAATAAACCGTTGAGTAAAGTTGACATAAAAACCGAAGCAAAAACGTATTTCGATCATGAACAAATTCGATGTGTCACCGGAATGTCCCTTGCTGATGGAGATTTTTGAGTTGTCGTCCCGTTTCCACTTGATGGTGGGCTTAGGAGAGCCATTAGCGCGGCACGTCAGCGTGACGTTGGCGCCCTCTCGCACGATAACGTCGCTCGAACTCAACGAGTCGTCGATGGTCGGCGGCACTATAAACAAACATTAATGCCACTTTAATAGACGTGCGGTTGTTTCATGGTTTAATTGACGTGTTTTATTTATTTATGTGAAGCTGTGATGAAATGTTCGGTATAAATAGTGAAGTTGCGATTTAATATGAGCTCCAGGGACGGTTAAATATTATTTATCTTTTTGCTATGAGTGATGCATATATATGATGAGCTACGCTGTTTCAATGAATTGTTAACAAAGGTATGTCGCTAAGTTATTTCAAGTAGTTCTTAATCATGATGATCTTACCGACAACATGTAGATATCCGAATTGTGTCTTAGCAGTGACGGTGTTGATCTGGCACATGTAGCGCCCCCGGTCCTCCTCCCTGACATCACTGATGTGCAGGAACCACGTGCGGTGTTTGTCATGAGTGACACTAACGCGAGGGTTGCGCGTGATCACGTGGTTGTGAACTGTGAGGATTGCTGACTGCTCAAAGTGCATCCACGCCACCTAGGCAAAAGAGTAATAATAAATTGATGGTGTATATTTTTTGTTCCTTTTTTTCCTATTTAAATACGATACAATACTATGAGTAAATTTCATTCTGCTCATCCCTAAATAATTAAAAAGTACAAAAAAAAAAACAAAATAACAGCATCATAATCATGCCAAAAAAATCAGCCCTGAGACTTCTTATTTCCATAACAATCGTCGACAGGATGAAAAATTTCTTTCAATGGTTTTAATATTGCCAATTTTTACAACAATTTGTAGATCCTAAATTGAACAATGTTTCTTGAAATGTCTTTAAAATATTATAACATGAAAAATCTTCCCTACATAAATACCTTTAGAAAATGTAAAACGAGAAAACTAGGGTGTGGAGTATGCCTCAATGATTTCCAATCGCTCTCCCAATTGGACGAGTGACGTAACGGAAATTAAAGACTTCTCCGAGGACATATTTTTTATAAATAAAATGTAGGTGCCTATCTGGAATATTATTCAACTGTCACTAACTGCGTATTACAGGTTGATTTTATTTAATGGACAGACATTTTAGTGAAAAGCTTCTTATTGCAACTATAAATTATTTTGACAAGTACGTACATCTATACCTACATGTCATAAAACAGTTAAAGAAGGTGTCTGATAAAAACAAAATGTTTGTATGCTTGTCTGTTTTCACACGGCAATCTCCGGGAGTAATAGACGGATTTCGAAGGAACTTTTTTAGTTGTGGTTATTCCTGACTAACATATAGGGTACAATTTGTTAACGCACAAAACATAAAGGTATAGTTTTTCAATTTGCTAACATATAGATAGGTATTGTAATATTAATGTGATTTATATTAACTCGTCGAGTACCGGTTTTGTAGACACAATTATAGAATAATAGGTTGCGGTCACCGGTGACGCTTGGTGTTTGACAGTTTAAACAGCTTTTATTTAATTTATAAGAATCATTTCACGTAATAGTTGCATTACGCCTTACTTTAATATGATACGTAAATTTTTAAGGAACTGGGAATCATTGTTTAAGTACCTTCCTAGCATTGTTGAGCGTAAGCTCTTAATGTTAAACACTAGGTATTTTCTTATAACTACATAACTAACTTATAACTACCTTAATGTAAATTAAGGTTCATTTAGGTCCTTGATATCGTTTATGACGTATTTATAAGAAAATACCTAGTGTTTAACATTAAGTAACTATTAACACGTGGTTGTCAGGAAGGTAAAAGAAAAACAACTTGTTTCTTCCTATTTATAAGTGGAATTGGTGTTTAGGGAATGTTGCGCGGTGGAGTAGGACGCGCGACGTGGTGGCGGACGTCTAGTATTCGCGTCGTCTCCACGACATCTGTGTAATTGCATGAAGCTGCCATCGCGTCCTCGCTTCACACCAATTTCCACGGCATTAAGCGCTTAAAATGCATTTTACTCAGATTGTTATACTCACGACGAACAATCTCGACACTTGTAATCTTCCCCCAGAGAGAAAAGATTTAATTTTCCCAATCAATTAACATTACACTACCTTTATTTTTAACTTTTCTGGCTCATACGTCATACGTGGAACGTAACACTTTAAAAAAGTCTCAATTTCGTTGCGTGTTTTTGAGTCATCCCGTTTGAAGTAAACAATTTCAGTAAAAGGCAATCTACAACCTACAACTCAAAATTATTTATTGAAACAGTACGTTCAAACTTTTAACATTATAACAAGATTTTTATTGACTGAGACAGGATTCGACATATTTTAAATCTGAAAATAACCTACATCTACAAATTAATTAAAGTCGTATAGTCGCAAGAAAAATTAACTAGAGTGAGGTGGTTTGTGAGGTTCAAAAGTTCGACGTGCATCCTTTATCTCTTAATCCTTCTTTAAGTTTGAATCATGGGTAGTTCTTTTTATCAAGATTGCGGGACCAATATAGAGGAAGTTTGGTAGCTAAAACTCGTGCCGGGTCACATCTTACCTATCTTAAGTGATGCGGCTCTCAGCCGCTGTCTAATTTATAATGGACTTGAGGAAACTTCGCCCATTTTATTATGCAATGGGACGGTAACCCCTCTAATGACGGCGACCTGACTTCTCGGCGTAACCTGGGGCTCAGGGATATTAAACAGGCTTAGTAATATTTCAAACGATTTACATGAAAATAATTTCATGTAAAATTCTTTAAGTAAGATCTCCTTATTTTCTAATCTTTGAAGTTTGTAACTTGGCGCTGAGTAATCTCGTAGAAGTATTTACAAGTTGCGAGTTGGGAGCGAGAGGTACGGTGATGTGAAACGAGACGCGGCGCGGTGGCGGTGCGATGACGACGCGACGCGACGCGACGCGACGCAGTGACGGTGTAGATACGAGCGGCAGCGGTAGATGTAAATCTGATCTGCGTAATTGTGGCCGGCGTCTAATCTAATCACGACGGTGTGTCCCTCTGCACCGCACTGATTGAATTACGAGCCGCAGCCGCCGCCGCGTCGTCGCCATCTGGATGGACAGTCTTCCAACTAATATGGGTGCTTCGATATTATTATGAGCAAATTAATATGAAAACTCCAAGACCGCTGCGTACATACAGTCGTCATCCCCGACCAAAGATTAAAGCAGTTATCTTAAATCCGTTATAACGCAAAGAGATATTACCCAAAGTTCTCTTTTACTGTTCGAACAATTAAGATAAAATTAAATAGGAATCAAAATTTTATAAGCGGTCGGAAGATAAGCGTTGAGTGTTGAACTTAACGAAGTTGTACAATCGTACTGCGAGCTCGGGGTGGCTAGAAATATTTAGTAAGAGCACAAGTACTTCGGGATTTATATAACAGTGTTTTGAATTCTGTGAAATAAATTATTAGATATTATTAGCAATTTTGAGGAAAACTTAATCGCAAAATGCGGAGCAATATTATTATTTTCCTGTAAAGTAAAATGGTTTCTCGCTACGTAAGTGACTAATGAAGCTGGCGGAAGTGGCAGATGAAAATATGATATTCGTAATGACGGCAGCGGCTAACTAATTTCATTCGTCTGCGGATCCTAAACGAGTTAGGTCACGACGTCGTTACGCGAGTTGTTGCCTGGCGCTCCCCCGCCCGCCCCGTACCACACCGCACTCACCGCTCGCGCCGGCACTCGGCCCATTACTTCAAATATGCAAAATTATCTAACCGCAAATTTTATGGACAGGTTGTAACATTTTTGAGTTTACTGCAAGGTGAAGCTGTTTGTGTTATTCTAAATTGATTTAGTTTACAATAAAATCATCACGTGAATTTAGTTGAATATGTTATCTCTGCGGTAGGTAATAATATCTACACGAAGTATACCTATGCATTGAAATCTTGGCTACGATAATACCGAAAATATCTGTGCCTGCGTTTTACTCGCAAAGTTAAAGCGGCCTATTAACTCGTTATCTTTTAACCACCTTTAATTTAGGCCCTTCTTTCTTTTTATCTTAATTGTTGAGGCATTAAGGAGGCAAAGTTGAAGTTCGGTGGCACGGCGGGAGACGTCCTCGTCCCTCAGGACATGCCTGGAAGGCATCGTTTGATTTATAATGGACTCGTTGCAAACTTTGCCCATTCCACCGCGTACCGTACCGAACCTCTTTAACGACGGATCCTATCGCCGCAGGAGATGATTCGTAGACGTGTTTAATAATATTACGACAGATTTAATTATGGAACGTTTAAAGAGCTTCATCTTACGCTATTACCCTAACTTTGTTTGTTTCAAATTCTCGAATGGTTGATATTTTTTAACTTTATATATTGCTGCGGTAACTGTTATAATGCTGTAAAATAAATGCATTTATTTACGTGAGAAGTGTGAATGTTTAGAAGTACAGGAGTTTGTTATAACTTACAAAATAAGAAGTAATTTTATATTTTTAATAGACGCTTTCGACGCCAGACGACCGATTCCGATGACAGTAAACTTTTTAAAAGCTTTGTCAAAATTTTAAGCTGAAATTATTGAAGGGCAGGATAGTTTCATGCCGGTTTACAAAAATTTTTGATGTGTGTGATAAATACCTAATTCAATATATAATAACATGTTAGTAAAGAAAAATGTAAGTCATTTTATACCAACTCAATACAATGGAGCAATTTGGTGGTGAAGCAGGGAAGAATAAAGAGGTAGCGTTCGCATGGCCGATCACCAGCCAGATGGACGGACCTTATAAAATCAGACAAATTAAATGTGGAATGCACGAGGAGCGCTACCAATAGAAAAAAGTGATGATATATCTCAAGGGCAACCACTAAGAACGTTCCACGATGACAATCACTCTGTGAAGAGTGCACATTAAGGAGATGTATTTTATACAAAAATTAAAGTGTATCATTGCACCGCGTGACATACTTAATTTGTTTTTTTAATATTTTTTATACATGATAGGTCGACGTTTGGCACCTCGCCTGGTGGTAAGTGATGATGTGGCCGACTATGGAGCATGCCTACCTATTAACAACCTGTTCACTTGTTACTCAAGTTGAGCGTATATTCCCAGAAGTGTAAGTACTGCAACGACAAACACAGCTTTTTGCAAGAAACTTACAAGTGGTTTATTCCTATAGTTAACTAAACCGTTAAAGTCACTGAATAAGGGTTAAAATGTTCTATGTTTAATATCAATATTACATTACATCACAAACATTTTTACAATAATAATCAGAATTGCACATACATTACAGATAATCTGATAAATGAAATATTATTTTGTGAACATTTTACGAAAGAAAAGCTCACACAACTACTTAAGATACTTTTTGCTTGTCTTTGGAGAGATTTGCCCAGCAGTCGTTTTTGATACAACCTTCATAAATATGATAAACATCTAACTGTGTGTTACGTATTCATAAAAGAAAATTTTACATATGATAGTAGTAGACAGGGAAAAAGATGAAACTCATTTTCACACAGAATATAAAAGTTAATATTTTATTTATTGCGCCTTAGCTATTGATGTATTGGAAGGTAAAACTTCAAAGTACTGAAGAATAAAGTAACTACACGCAGTCTCTACCAGTGTGTTGTTCGTAGAACACTCTCCACGTCACAAAGCGTTAGTACGGTTGACACACTAATGCAATGGCGCAGACAGAAATGAGCGAACATCTTGCACGAGACGGCTTAGCTTAGTTCTGCTAAAAGCCCACTTAGAGATCTCTTCAGCTGCGGATTTGTGCCGAGGGCTCTCCAAGTTTTCACGGAATCTTCGGCCAATAAGTTATTTTGGGTTTGATGTAAGTACTGCTGATCGAAAACATTTTACGAGCAAAACTTCTATCGTTAAAGTTAAAATATGCTTTCGAGGTGGATTTTATCGAGATTTTTCATTCGGTTATAAACCTATCTGTACATGTTTTTAATTAAAACATGAATCGGTATTCGTCAGGATTGTGTAGTGTACACGATCATTACAGACATTAGAGCGGCGCGGGCGATAACGCAGCTGGGCGGTAGTCGAAACAAGTACTCTCGGCTCCCCTCATCTTGGGCTCAGTTTGCTCATGCGAGCTCCACTATTAAGGCACGAGAAATATGCCAGAATTTGAACAGGCGGCGCCCGCATGCGGCGCGAGTGTAACATTGCTGCGACTCGTTGTGGCATGTTATTGCAAACCCACATACGTGCTACTGCCGACTATCTGACATTTCATGCCGATGAACCGGCTACGTGCGCATACTTACAGACATTTGCATAAAATAGAGTAACATTTAACGCAGTCGCGTTACTTACGAAGCAAATCATACATGGATATGTATGTTTAATAATTTCATAAAATACTAAATTACTACTATTACAAATGCTGTCATTTAGAAATAATCTTTTTTTGCGGTGGAAAAATCATCCTATAACTTCTTCCGCCTTGAGTGCGGATTTAAAAAAGTAACATAGCTTTGAAATCTATCAATATTACATTGTAAGTGTAATTACAGAAATATGTTGCAGTACGGATTTTGCCCCGGCAATGACGTTATACAATAAATACGAGTACATTCTGAACAAATAACCGTGTGTGATATAAATATTTGTCGTGTCGCGTGAACCGAACTCACTGCCCTGAACATAAAAGCAAATGGTATTTATCCTGAACAGTACGTATTTTAGAGTATATAGTTGGTAACATCATAATTAATTGCTATATGTATATTTTTAAATCAATAATTTTGCATAACTCGTTTATGAAAACATATTATAAGAAATAAAAATAACACAGTCATTTGATCACAATATTTCACATGAGTCAATAATTCTAAAAAAATACGGACGAAAAGGCAAATCTTTTTAACCGACGCGGGAAACTAATGGCACAGGCGAGGCTTTCGGGGAAATCCGCTTCTTGTTGTCAATACAGGGCAACCGTGATGGCTCCCCCAGTTAAGCCTTTATTTCAGAAGTACGAGAACACTATCTCGGCTTTTATTGCGCCCGCACTGTAGACAGCTTCACAAGTAAGTAAATGCAATAAAAAAGAAGGAAAAAGTCGGTCAAACGGTATTCAATGAAAATGCCATTGTAGTATTTTTACTTATTTAAAGGTTTTATGTATTTGAATCGTTATAAAGTATGTTTAAATAATATAACAATGTAAACATAAGTAGTAGAAGCATTTACCGACAAATTGGCTATTACTAACTAATCTACGTTTCTGGTTAACAGCGGGTGCAGGGAGATTCAGTGAGAACCGAATGAACCAGGCGGCCCCCGGGAGTGGGAGCATGCGGTGTCGGCAGTTAGCCGGCGCGGCGTCACCTTGCGGCTTATCGGCCGTCCGGTCACCGGTCGCCGGCTGTCGGTGTTCGTCCGCGCTACGTTTACCGGCTCTTCGCTACTCCCGACAGTTGTACTACTCGTTACAGATATATTGCGATGCCAAATTGCTGTCATTAAGTTTAATCTTTCATCTAATACCCAAAAGTGGTACTAACAACATCTTAGAACAGTTTTTGATACGCAAATAAATTAATGCGAAGCTACGTTGTTGCTACGAAGTACTACGTGTCGGCTACGGCGTAGCAGTTGTAGTCCATGTTTAAACATTAACTGATTTTTTAACACCAGTCGCTAATTTGTTTTCTTAGCTATTGATTAAACTGTCAAACACCAAGCGGTCACCGGTGACCGCAACCTATTGTTCTATAATTGTGTCTATAATGACGGTACTCGACGAGTTAAATACAGTTATGTTGTTAAGACTACTAATGTCACTAGGTCTTTAAGCTTTCTTTTTGTTATACATTGTATAATAATATGCATACTGTCTACAAAGATTTATTGCAGTTCTCAAAAATAAAGTTTTTATATTCGAGTGGTTTCAGTTTCTACCGCCTAATATTTATAACTAGCGACCCGCCCCGGCTTCGCACGGGTGCAATATGTATATACATACAAACTTTCCTTAAGAATCACTCTATCTATTAAAAAAAACCGCATCAAAATCCGTTGCGTAGTTTTAAAGATCTAAGCATACATACGGACATACAGCGAAAGCGACTTTGTTTTATACTATGTATTGATTAGACTTCCAAATCAGTTCGGCGAAAACATGTCATGAAGTCACGTGACACATGAATTACTCAAATAATACGATTATTTAATCTATTTAAAACACACACACACACTCTGCATAAAATAAAATGTCTATAACGTGGGTAGCGCTAAAGACATTTTAGTTTTTAAACCGTCTGAGGCACGAGCGAGGTGCAAACTCGGCGTAGGGGTTGTAAATCATATCTTCCTCCATTTATATGGACACTTTATTACGACGGCGCGTTCTAAATCAAATGATAAAATGCTTCTTATTTTATGTTTCCTTTCGCCGCTCCACGCATATTGTCGTCTATTCACCGCGCTGCCGTCGCCTCCGACCTATCTTAGTGAAGCCCATTCAAAGATTCAAGATGTGATTTTGTGTTTGTGTTCGAGATAAACAAGGTTTGGAAGAAAGTAGCTGCGGTACATCTGTATCAAGTTAAGTCTGTTATAGTCAGTGAGATGAGTAAACTTACCTTGTAAGAGCCGAGGTTCTTGACGGAGCAGGCGAGTCGCACGCTCCGGCCGGCTGGCACCGTCACGTTTTGTATGACGTCCGTAAACTCTGGCTCCTCCACCACTGAAAAGAATATATTTGTTCACTAGATTATATACTTGGGGGTCTCGTGTATACACAAGTCAAGGACATACAATCTTTTTTGTATTACCGATCGAAGTTTTGTCTCTCGTAGTTGCGGCGTATTCAGAAGATATAATTTAAGATAAATTGAACCGATCTCCCCTTAACCTTATCAAGCTGGAAAGATTTTGCAGTTATGAGGACATTTTTGTGTCAAGAGATACGATTTGTAATTCTCAAATTATCAAAGCAGAACGCTTTTAAACAAATTGAGTGGGCGATAAGGAATAATGTCGTCGTTTATCAAGCTCCAAGATAGATGGCCCTTGCTCTGCTCTGCCCATTTTAAATGCGTTTGTCTTCGACTTGCCAAATTGGCGTTCTTTGTTTTCTTCTTAAGTTCTTACTTTTATGTCGCTACACGAGGTGCGGAATGGTTAAGTATTTGATCGCTGCGGTGAAAATGTTAATACTGTTTGGAAAAAGCGGGAAGTGTTGAACTGTGCAAGGAGAAGGGGTTACACAGGGGTTGAATAAGCAAGTAAACATTTGTCATCCCGTGAGCGAGGCGGGAGTCTATGTAAAGAAAGGAGCGATGTCGTCTACGACAACAGTATTGAGTCAGGACACAGTCAAACGTTCGCATTCAGCGTGCTGTGTTTGATTAATGGTTCCAATGTTTAATGTGGCGAATACAAAATTTTGAGACGGGAGTCAATGAGGTTTATTTAGCTGTGACGCAAAGACTAACCGTGTTGTTTGAGAATAAACACGATTCGACGAGCCGGTCCGATTGATCATGCTTTTACATCGATGTGTTTGTGTGTCTGTGTACCTACGTTTGTGTTTGGAGAATAAACTTGCTCGGTGGCGATAGTTAGTCTGGTTCCAAGTTGTTTACATATCACCACCGCATCCAGACTGACAATAGATTTATTTTGTTCCGGTTTGGACGCAATCGAACAAAAATATCGTCTAGTATATTAATGGAACGTATATTTGACATTTCTTTAACGACTTTTTTTATTCAAAACTTGCAAGTAACATATTATGGTCTATAAAATAAACATTTACATTGTAAGTTCTGTAAATTAAACGTTGCTTGCTTGGATGCGTTGACAAACATACAATTTCACATACACAATGAGCTTAGTTCAGTAACAACAATTTGTGGATATCACAAAAGGTTGATCCGAGTACACGTCGCGTGGCAACTGGTTGCCTAGCCACCACGCCAACCGTGCAGTCAAAGTACTATAAAAGTGTAAATAAATGTTAAACTGACCAAAAATAAATAAAAAATTTCTATGTTACAACCGTTATAAATACATAGCAAATAGATTACAATGTTTTTACATTTTGCTGAAATAAGGAAATATACAACTACAATTTTAAGAGAATTGTTATATTAAAATTTTGTTAGTAACCTCTATTAGTTGATACTACCGTTTATTTTACAATATTATCAATATTGTGTCCACTCGACGGAGTATTTCGGTTTCGGCGCACGCAGCAGTTCGCCACGGAGCCAACATTTAGATTTAGGTATGTACGTACATATATTTGTGTGTGCAAACGTGGCTAAGAGATACCCGACTGAAGATGAAAGCTTCGGTTGTTGCGTGTTTGCTCACCTGATCGTATTAGCTCTAAGCACGACGCTCCATTTTCTGCCCGGGTGCCCCTGACTCAACCGATGTAAATCGCGCATTAACATCTATAAGGTACCCTATTAGCTGTGTATGCGTTTCTCGACGTTCATTGCTAACAACGGATACAACATTATTGGTCGGCAGCACGCCGGTAACGATGACGCGTATTCATTACGCAACACCCTACACGATGGTAATTTGTAAAGTTCCACAGTCGACATTCCAAACACGTCGTTAATTTGGAGATCGTTACGCTAGTCAATCACGAACAGAGGGCCGCGATAATTGAAGAATTGATCTAAATTAAAAATTAGTGTCAGTAATACTTACGTTCTTTAGTTTCCACGTATAATAAATCAATCATCAAACTAAATTGCTATAGAATCAACAAAACAATAATTGAATGTTTCAAAAGTAATTGCACAAATCGATATGTACGAAGATCATAAACCGAGATTATTTAGGACAAACAACATTCACATATAGGAAACAATAACATTAGTTCATCGTATCAATGACAGTCGCGTCAACGACCCAAACTCCGATTATGAGCCACGAGACAACAAAAACAATATTATCAAGTAACGTCATAAGACACGCCACAATTGTATTATATGTTATGGTAATCGTAAGTCTCAGTAAGTTCATACGTACGTTTAAGTTAATAAGGCGCTCGTAGAGGAGATGACTTCTATTTGTTTCAATAATACCGTACATTAAAATTAACAAGGGTAACGTTCGCAATAATCTTACATACCGCACGAGGCAGTGCGGCGCGTGCAAGGGTATTTAGGGGTTAATTAAGAAACCGCAGACAGTGGTGCGGCGGGAAGGGGGGTAATCCCTTTGTCACCGATGGCAAGACGATGCCTCCGCTACGGCTACACGTACTATTGTTGTGATTACAATGTAGCGACGTGTACACCTTGTCGATTAAATTCCCACATGATGTTGTACCTACTAAACATTGTTTGGTACAATATTAGTGATATTATTACAAGTTTCACTTAATTTTCTGTAATTCTATTCAAACTTCTAATGTACATTTCTTAATTCGATTTAGCACCTCATCAAATAAAAAATATAAAGTAAAGCTTGGGTGGAATTGCAATTTGCCAACAAGCATGTCAAATACGAGTGGCAATTCAAATAATTACGTCCGGGATTGGGTCGACTAAATATTCCAAAACTAATAATGAATAGGACCGCAGTCGCTCCTAACTCGAGAATAATCTCATATTAAAGCTGGCCCTTATGCAAATGAGAAGCGGTCAGTCGGAAGTCATCAGGCGCGGACGGGCCGACGGCGGGCCGGCGGCGGAGCGGGCACGGCGCGACTGCGGGCCCGCCACAAATTGACAGGGCCCACACCGCCAAATTGATTGCGGCTACACAGACACCTCGTTATAATACGCGTGACACGCCATCGTGACAAATAGCCTATCGTTCGCTGCTTTATCTGTTTTGAAAGACTCAACCTATTATTGTTTTCACGTCAAAATATTACAGAATTCCAGAACCAGAAGGGGATGTTTTCAAAATGTTAAAATATTTCACGCCAGTTTATTTAAATCGACGTTAGAAATTTTGTTAATATTTTACTCGTACTTCGACAAACTTTTATTAAGTTCTATGATTATGTTACCAAAAATCAATCATTTTGAAAAAAATCTGTAAGTTTTGTGATTAAAGAAAATGTACAAGTGACTAAAAAAGTTTGTCGTTTTCTCAATTTAGTCCACACCGGAGTAATTATGTACTTGACAAAGTAAAACTTATAGATGGCAAAGTATTCGTAAAGAAAAATATTGTAACGAAGTATTTAAAAGTATTTAACGAGGCTCCATTTACAATGCTCACAGCTTAGTTATTAGTTTGAACAAAATCAATATAAAGTTTTGTTATGGTAAGTGCGGTTCTGTAGCCAAATATTTAAGTTTATACGTCCCTTGTCACAGATGTGGCTCGTAATATTCTCATATACGATCAAATTCTTTTAAGAGATCCGCAGATAAAGAACGTGGCGTCGGGTGTTTGGGCGGTTTCGGACTTTCACTTATTTGTATGCTTTACCCTTCGCCGGGACACGGACGTGACTATTCGAGATACATAAACCCTGAGTGAATACAGAAAATAGAAATAAAGTAACATACATAATATTAGTTTTAGTAGACGGATTGTGGAAAAAATGATGTCGGTACAATTGGTAGTATTTGCTTTTATTGTTATTCAGCTATATTATATTTAGGTATTATCAATATACAAAGAGATTTGTTTTGTATTAAAATAAAATAGTTTATGATCTGAAATATTTTCATTGTTTATAAATCGTGGATGTTCAGTTAGATTTTATAACAATGGACGTCATGTTAAAAATTATACCTAATAAATACCTAATAAATTATACCATTGAAAAGAAAACAAATAAAGGTGTAAGTTTTCTTAAAACTGGGCTCCATTTAGGATAGAGGGAAAACAAGTAAGCCCGTCACTTGATGGTAACCAACGAGCGTTGCCTATGGACATTGAACACCGACAACACCAGAGGAGATACCTACATGTTTTTTCATGGGATAGGCTGGCAAACGGGCATACGGAGCACCTGATGGTAAGCAATCAGCGCCACCCATGGACACCTGCAACACCAGAGGAGTTACAAATTGGCCGGCTCCAGTAAACCAACCAATCAGAGCGCCTAACACCCTCGATACTATTACGTTACGATTGCTATAGTTATTCGTGCTTGGTACTCTGGGCTTTTGAAGTTTGCGGTTTGTGTTGTGAGTTTCGGTTTTAACATTTAAATCTTCATGAAATGACAAGAATAGATAATTATTTTATACGTAAGTAGTTACAGCAGCACAATTGAGCATTAGTATTTAATTACATGTTACCTCCAATCTATGGTTTCATCCTCCAGCTACGAGAGTAAGAAGGATTCGAGAGACTAGCACATTAAGCGCATTCAAACGCACCTACAGTTTTTAGAATTTATGATATGCATTTATATTTATTCTAGGTCTAACTTTTTGCATTTGGTAATTGGTATCACAAGACCAATCACTTAAATAAAGATTGTATTTATTATTGTAAAATGGTAGAAATAATTATGGTAAAAATATTTAATAGCATTCAAAGTAGGTTGGCGGGAGAGCCTATAAATTACATCAAGTACTTTTTATGTGGTAGATGCGGTAACACGTTATACGCTTATCGACGAAACATGTTTGTAGGGTCATCGAGGCCGGGTCATGTCGCGGTCAGTTCAGCGGAAGTACGGAAGCAGATGTTGACAGGTCGCGGGAAGTCACCCCCTTCCAACTACTCTTATCTAACCACTCCAACATC